CCTGCTGATAGCTCTGGGCTCTGTGAGGAGATTGGAAAGGGTCTTTAAGCAGTGACTCACCATGGAGTACTAATTACATTAATTTAAATAATCACATAAATTAAAAACTTGTTGATGGTGGAGAGGATGCTGCTTCTTGGTGACCTTCAGCTTCTGGAAGGAGCTCTCAGGGTAAGACATGATGCATTTCAGTTTCAATTTTACATGTATGGTTTCTTTGTCTTATTTTCTATCTGTTTGGGGCATTTATTCACACAAAAGAGATCATTCTCCAGTTCAAAAAAAGGAATGAAAAAGTAAGCTTAGCTTTGAAAAATAACCCCAGAGGGGATTTGGTAGTAGAGTGGTTACAAACCAACCTGCTCTCAGTGGGGTAAAAGGTCACGTTCTTTGACGTGTGTGCAATACCTCACTGTTGAAAACTGAGGCTTGTAAGAAGGTGTCTGTGCAGAGGATTCCACCTTACAGGTTCTTTTTTAAAGTACAAAGGTTTATCAACTCTTTAAAACTCAGATTTCTTAGAATTGTGCACTCTGGGAACAGGTCTTTGGAAAAGCCTGCACATGCAGAAAAGCATGAACTGCTGCCCCTGCAGGAAGCACTAGCTCAGGGACACAAGCTGCTGTCTTCAAGACCATTATTTTGTTGGCTAAGCAGAGAACAGTCAGTGCTGCTGTGACCAAAGACTGAAATAAAAACCCTTCCAGAGGATTTCTGTATAAAAGCTTTTTGCATGGGGAGTTGTTTTTTTTTCCTCTCCCAACTCTCAATTTAAAAAACCCAAATAAAACTCTGTATCCTTGAATAAATAGAAGTGACTTAATTCTGTAGATGCAAGAAGATCAGTAATAGATAATATACTGCATGTTTCAAATCATACTTACTGCTAAAATGCTGGAGTTGATGTAGAAGCCCATGCTCACTGCTTGGATGCTGCCACATGTCTCCACACTTACTGACCTCGTGCACTTTGTAGCCTGGTTTACTAAGAACCCTGGAAAAGAGTCACAAAGCACTGCTGAAGGAACTGAAAGTCATTATGAAGAGCACAAACACAAAACAAGGCAAGAACCTCAAGCAAAAGTGAAGGGCAACATCATTCCCATTGCAGAGCAGGTTTGATGTGAGCTGCAAAGAATGAGCTTCCTCAGATCCTCCAAAGATGCCAGCAGACAAAATATTGCTTCTTAACAAGAGAGGCTCAATAAAACCCAGATTTATTACTTCATCTTTGGAGATCTCATAAGATTATTTTTTTTTTCTTTCCCAAGAGACATCTTGCTGTGGTTATTATCATGATTGTGATGATAACATAGTAACAACAGTGGGTCTGGAAAATGCTGGGGTTTGGTTGTGGCTGTGGCTTTAGTTGGGCTTTTTTTTTCCCCTCCCCCTCTGCAGATTTTCAGGAAACTGTGTGAAAGGTTAAAATGTAGAGCTCAAGCCTGACTTGTGTTGCATCCAGGCTGTGAAAAGAAGCTCTTTGTACCAAAGGAACATCTTACAGAGGTTGCCCAGTTGGGTCTTGCTCTGTGTAATACCCTCTTCCCTCATGGTGTCACCCTTGTGCTATTTTATTAAATCAATTATGCCAAATAGGATATTTTATTGTTAGATAAATGACTCATTAACAAGAATCTCAAAGGTTTACATATCTAACTTTTACTCTAGATGCAACACAACTTCCAATCTATGTCAAAAAAAGAAACCCCACAGAAACAGAAGCTGTTTGAAAAATACTTGTTCTTCATCTGAATTTACATTCATGTCTGTGCCAATTTATTGATTGACTAAGCTCAGGACAGGCCAAAACACTCTAAAGCAAATAAACTGGAATTCAATGCAATTTCCAACCTGCAGGATTCACATCTGAGCACCAGGAGGTAACAACAGGACTGGGCAGTCTTAGAAATGCATCCACTGTCTGCACAGGAGCACCAAACTGCCAAAGAAAACAAGACCATTCAAGCACACAGGTGTGTTTCAGCCCATGGAAAGACTTGGAGCATTTTTAGTAACAATAAACCTGAAGAAAAGTAGTACTTAATTTCCACTACATACACAGTGCATGCTACTTTGTGCATCAGTTCTTATTTTTTGAAAGATCTTTAAAGATCTAGTTCACTTTTTAAGTGAGCTAACACAAACCACTTTGCATTTATACATTTCTATATGTAAAGACCAAATTCAAGTTTGCCTTTTCCACAAGAACTGCACTTTTTATTTATTTGAAAAGCAGCTGCAAACAACACTCCCTTCTTCTTTTATGAAATAATCTAATACCAATTCCATCAGATAATGATTTACCTCATATCTGTAAGTTTCATTTGCATCAGCAGGAGGTTGAGCATCTGGGTCCACGTTCCAGGTGTCAGGCTCAGCACTGAAAGCAGCACTTCCAAACTGCTCAAGCAACTGATCAAAATTTTCAGCAGTAGGCATTTCAGGGGAACTGAAGGAGAGTGCTTGGTCATCTGTCCAAACATTTTAAGAACAACACAACTTTTAGGAGAAAAGAGAGAGTATTTAGTAACAATTTTTCCTCCTTGAGTTGTTAACAACTTGGTGAGAGAAAGATACCAACACAGGTTTTTTTCCTAAGAGAAAACCCAGGCAGTGTTTTAATTCATCATTTCACCCAGATCCATGAAAGCCCAAACTTAAAACTTCAGAGGTAAGCCCCTTGCTTTCAAAATCATGGTTTCTAACATGTTTCAAAACAAAGAGCATGGAAACTGTAGACACTAATTAACAAGTACTGAGATGATTATTGCACAATCAGAATTAAACTGAGAACACAGCACTGATCGTTTCTTGCTTCCCACAATTCACTTCAACGCTGGACATAAAGTTATTTTTTAAAAAAAAGCCAATACACAGGATTTTTTTCAACACAGAAGACTAAGAGTTACAGATGTTTTAACTCCAGAGTTTCACAAGTGAAAGGACTGCAGCATCAGGACTGTGCATACAGAACAACCAGTTTTCTGACAGGTTTAGTTTCTTTTAATTTTTGTTTTTGGTACCTAAAGAGTTTATTTAAAAAAAAAAAAAAGCCTAAAATTGGTAAAAACCCTCCTTACAGTTTGTGGCATGAATGCAGAAAATACTGGGATTGACTTGGTCAGTTAGTTCAAATATCCTTTCTGGTGGATTTGCTTCCACATCAAGTGAATATACAGCAGCTTTCTGACTGCACAGGTGGCTGTCACCCCTGCAAACAAAAATAATAAGCTCAGTGATCCACTATAAGTCAGCATTGACCACATTTTAAAGTTCTTTTCATGTACTGTACAGCAATTGTGCCTCCTTGGGAAGCCTGTATTGTTTTATACTGGGTGCTTAGTAATTAATAATAGAGAATAGAGAATTCTCCAATGTATTTTTATCTAGCAGAGGAAGCAGTGTGAGCAGCAAGATGAAGAAAGAGACAGATGAGGGGGAAGGGAAGAGCCTGACCAGTAATATTAGAGCTAAAATGAGAAGTTGGGTGGGATCCAGGTGGTGTGAGACACCAGAAACACAGGGTGCACCACAGGCCAGGTGCAGCCCAGGAGCACTTGTATTTACACAGCACAAGTGGGAAGAATGACCTTCATGGTAGCTGATGGCATGTGGGACAGAAAAGTTTTCAGATTCCTGAATATTAGGGTAATATTCACTTGGAGGGGGTACCAGGAAAAAAATTCTGGTTGAGATGCACTTCAAAGAAATGGCAGAGTGAGAAATAGGAAGGTGGAATAACCCCTCAGGAGTTGGCATCATTAAATCACTCTTTTTCTGCTGTCAGAGACTGCATAGCCTCTTCCTTGGGATCAGCCTTTCAGTAACTAACACAATTATGCAAATAATTATGCAAATAATGAGATTCATACTAATTGCAGCCATAGGAAATCCCATGGATTTTCATGCAAAATGAACGTTTTGCACAAGAATTTGGGGAAAGAAACAACTTCATTTTATGCATTTCTAGTTGACAAAGAATAATGACCTGAGACAATTAAACTGTCACTCAGGGAGGCTGATTAGACCTTTCTGATGTTTATAAGTAGGGTGTAAGTGGGTAGCAGTAGTCATTGTGTGCAAGAACAATAAGAAACCACAGTCTGAGATGATTGCTAATTCCAATTTCAAAGCACCAAGAATAAACGCCAGTGTTCAGATTGGCACCATTTCTGCAGAAGGTGGGTTGAGGAGCTGTACTTGGTGTTCTGAGAAGTCACCCAGAGATTATTTATTTTTTTTTATATGACAATTTTGAAGTGAGCTTTCTTAATTCCTTAGTGGGAAGGTGAAATGGGGTGAAGGTTTTTTTCAGATTAACTGTAAATAGTAAAGGAACAGCTACTGGCACGAGTCTGTTGATATAAGGTTACAAGTTGCTGTTTGTAAAGTGACAGCCTGGCAGGTTGGCAGCAGGCTGGGACACTGACTTGTAGAACTGGGGTCAGAATGATGCTCAAGCTACTTCATTAAGGCCTGAATTGATCCAGTTTCTAGCTGATATCAACCCCAATGAAAGAGGTTACTGATAAATTGCTTATGACCTAGGGAGGTGGCCAGGTGGTCCCATGGTATCAGCTTTCTTAACTCCCAGACAATGCATCACAGTGATGCAAGACTGAAAATGCAAGGGCAGGTTGGACAGGGCTCTGAGCAACCTGATTAGTGGGAGGTGTTCCTGTCACTGCAGGGGGCTGGATCTGGATGATCTCTGAGGTCCCTTCCAGCCCAAACCATTCCATAATTCCCCCAACACAAGGCATCACCACCCAAAGACAGTAGCACAGGGAAAGAAGAGAAAAACAAGGAGTGTGAGGGAATATGAGAATGAGGAACTGAGGTGGGAACTTTGCTGTTCTAGCTGGTTGGGATCAAAAGTTTACAGGCCTAGTGCAGGGAGGACTGGTGAAATGGCAGGGAGGAGCTGGGATGGTGGGGGGAGATGGGTTAGGACTTGGTAAGGAGAGGACACAGGCAGCAAATAAAGCAGGATTTTCTCTGTCATGCAGCTCTGGATCCACTTACGTGACAACAGGGACTGAACATGTAGTGAAGAGGCTGAACTCAGCTGTGCTGCAGTCGGGGTCACAGCAGCAGTTCACATCACACTGTGCCACCAACAGGTCACACACACACAGCTTGGCAACTGCAGGAGAGAGGTAAATTAGAATGACAATCAGAACTTCCCACACTGCAGCATGTTCCTGACACTAATTTTTCACCCTCCCTTATTTCTGACAATGGCCAAAAGTCTGTATTCAAATTATTTCCCCACACACACACCTTGTTTAAAGCCATTTTTAAACCTCATCTTTTCCGCTACTTAGCTGATCTATTTGGAACACAATAACAAAACCAAGGGCATAAAATCTGATGGTGTGTTCCCTGTGAAATAAAAAAGACACTTGAATTCAGAGGAATTTTGAAGGTACAAAAATACACTCAGCCTAGTGGGGAGGAGGGGGAGGGAAGAGATACAAAGGTGTGCTTGTCTGCTTGTTTCAGCTTATTGGGGGGACAAAAACCCAACTCAAAACATTCTGATAGAGCAGTGAGATGTTTACAAGTATTGAACGTGTCCCAGCGTCCAGTAATATATTTTCCTGATGTGGCAACATAACCACAGTTGACTCCTTTGAAACTGTTTTTTTCTGTTTCCAGTATTTTCTGTGAGAAATAATACAGGAAGGAATTGCCAGCAGCACTGCAAACTGTCTAACCTTTATTTGGTAACTTCTTAAATTGTTCTTAGGTTTTCAAGTTTGTAAGTACAAAGAGCAGGTGTTACTGCACTGAGCTGTTCAGGAGAGTTGCTGCTCTGGAATAAATCTAAGCTTAAGAATAGCAGAGAATGTAGAAAGTTAAGACCAGCACTCTGTAGGGAAGACATTGAGAAAATGATTGTTCATGTAACTGGTGCTTCTTGTATTTCAACTTGACTGTTGTCTCCAGGGCTTCCTGGGTGCTCTCTGACCATCTGAACAGTATCCAGGTTATTTCCTGGAATCTGTGAAGTTCTGACTGTTCTGTTGGCTGAGTTTAGCACTGGAATCCTTGGCTCACCTTGTAAACAAGGGAAGTTCAAACATGGGTGGTTAGATTGCAAGGTCATGTCTCTGAGCTCTGGGATTTAATTCTGTTTTCCCTAAGGAGTTAAGCTGTGGGACATGTTTTATTTGGCAAGCACTTTAGGGAAGCTGAGTGAATGGCAACAACACTGGGAAATGAGAAGTATCCCTGTCAACTAGAAGGCAGTGGGAAACACCTTCTGATGCCACAGCAACAAAGAGGTGTGATCTGTATTGTTAGAGCATGACTGTGTATCCATGAGGCTGGGGATGAGTTAGGAGTCTGGGGCAAACTGTGTGCAGTTAGGGATCTGGGTGTGCAGGCAGGGATTGGGGGGTGTGTGCAGGCAGGGATTGGGGGTGTGTGCAGGCAGGGATTGGGGGTGTGTGCAGGCAGGGATTGGGGGTGTGTGCAGGCAGGGATCTGAGTGTGCAGGCAGAAATTGGTGGGTGTGCAGGCAGGGATTGGG